AAAAAAAAAAAAAAAAAAAAAAAATCCACTAAAAAAAAAGGAACCTCAAGAAAACATAACCAGGCCCCCAAAAATAAATAAACAAATAAATAATAATAATAAAATCTCAATTATAGCGAAACAATAGCGTTGTTTTGGCAGATTCGTCGGTAGATGATAGATAATTTTGGACTCCTTTGTATCACTTGCCAAACTGACAACAATATCAGTTAGAGGTTTGCCTTCGAACCTGAAAGCTCATAGGTCGGTATCGACACCGCGCGGGGCCCACCTCCAGAGTCGAGGGAAGGGAAATTAAGAAGATAATAACTGATGACAAATTCTCAAGCGTAAAGAGACAGAAGAGCATCTTCAGTTTGAGGACAAGACGGTCGTCTTATAGAGCCTTCGATGCTGGATTGATGCGCATTATGGTTCTAAAATAATATTAGCAAAGGATTCATTAGCATCATATACAAGCTTCCAAAAAATTAGCATCATATCGATGACTAGCTATGGTTAATATTTAAGGAAGTAGAAGATAGCTTTATATATATATAATAATACTATTATAAAAGTGGGTTGCTATGTTAAAACATTTCTCTCTAATATGCCCTCCAACACATCAATCCATGCATACATGAGACACATAAATACTTAATTTTTCATAACGTCACCATTGACTACACATCCATCCGTTCATACATACATGAGACACCATCTTTATGACCATCAAAATTTTATTTAACCACACACTCATAACATTCATCCACTAACTCCTAACAAGTCACTCGATCGTAATCATGATTATCGTCGACACAAACAAAGCTACTAACTCGTCTTCATAGCTGAGTGATGAGTCAATAGAGACGACGAACAGAAGCTAGGAAGCTAAGAAACCTGTAACCTCTAAACACTTCCTCAAAATCTATTTAATTTACTTCATAACTATATATCTCATCCTATCCCCAAACTTTTATATTCTTTTCACATGATAAATTAACGGTTGCACCCACGCTAAAGTCCTTTTCGACTGCATCGTCCTCCATATAAAGGGATGTCTATGTTGTACGCCGCCACATGAATGGTTCTGATATTAGTGGGGTTTTTTTTTTTTTTGCATATTAATTGGTGTGACGTGTTTGCGTGACGTTCGTTAATGCTCACACCCGTATCTTATTTCCGTTCCGTTATATCCGTTGGCGGCGCAACACACGAAGAGACCCTTAATTATAACTTGATATTTCCGTTACAGGACGCGCGTTCTTTCTTTAAACGGTTTGTCTGCTCGTACTCACTCTCTCTATATAAGCCCAGCCCACTCTCTCACTCCTCCGCCATCTCAAAAACTAACATCAAGCTTTCTCTCACTCGATGGACTACTCAAAGCCTGATCAGAGTAAATATATACTTATCATGTCCTTAGCTGCAAAATGCAGCGGCGTCTCAGACTCCCGCCTCATCATCACTCTCACCGCCATCGCTATTCTGCTGCTTCTCTGCACCGCTCTCCTCTACTGGGCCTCCGCTGGCGGCCCAGCTTGGGGAAAATACTACCGGAACTGGCCCAAATCGCACAAAAGCAGAATCCCAGGCCCCAGTGGCTAGACCGCGAATCCAACGATGAACCAAGCAATAGGGCCGTCAAGAACTGTCAGCTGCCCACCGGAAACTAGCAGATGGCGGAGCCCACAGCTTCAACGCCACGAGGCTGATGGCCCTCAGCCTCGGCTGGCACGCGCGTCGTGATCACGTGCGACGCCCGACGTCGCGCGTGAGATCCTCAACGGCCGGTCGTTCGCCGACCGACGCGGTGAAGGAGTCCGCATATGGGCTCACGTTCCACAGAGCCATCGGGTTCGCGCCTCACGGCACGTACTGGCGGGCTCTGAGGCGGATCGCGTCAAGCCATCTGTTCAGCCCGAAGCAAATCACAACATCTGGGCCTCATCGAGCCCAGATAGCGGCCCAAATGGTAAGGTCACTCGCGGTTAACGAAACAAGCGTTAGGGTGAGAGAGGTGATAAAGAGAGGATCGTTGCATAACGTGATGTGGTCGGTTTTTGGGAAGAGGTATGATGAGATTGATGAGGAGGTTAAGGAGTTGATGAGTTTGGTTGATGAAGGGTACGAGATTTTGGGCATGCTAAATTGGTCCGACCATCTGCCGGGTCTGGGTTGGGTGGATCCGCAGAGGATCCGGTCTAGGTGTGGTAGGCTCGTGCCCAGAGTGAACCGGTTCGTTGGAAATATTGTTGAGGAGCACAGAAGGGTGCGGGGTAGCGAGCTGCTGCCGCCGAATGCCGATTTTGTTGATGTTCTGTTGTCGCTGCGGGGGAGTGAGAGCTTATCTGACGCTGACATGGTTGCTATCCCTCTGGGTGCGTAACTAATACTATAGCTTAATTATGCGCCATTTATTAATAGTGTCCGCCCCCCCCCCCCCCCTCCTCAATTTTGGGTTCATAGTTTTTCGTTTTATAGTTAGTTTGCGTCTCTGTATCTCATCAGTGGACGAGGTCTACGTAGGGCATTAATAGTCTTTCAAATCCTAAATAAATAAAGCTAACATTTTTAATATGTAATTGGGATGGAAGTAAAAGGAAAAGAATTATATTCTAATTCGTGGCTGATAAGTGAGGCTTATCCAAGGTCCAGAATGAAATAATTAGATCATGAAAGATTCTGGTTTCGAGATCAAAATAATGGTTTTTTTTATAGTGAAAGTAAAAAGTTGGCATATATGCGATCCTTACTATTATTCATTTATAAGTCAATAAAAAAAAAAAAGTTGTGTGTACAATACCTTAAGAGCAAACAAGCCTGATGTGTCTCTCTCTAGATCTCTCTCTCTTTGTATATAGTGATTGTTATATGAAAAATTACTCAATGATCTAAAATATGGGACCATCAGGGGAACGTGTGAGGTGTCCCCCTCCTATTGCATAAGGAGTTAGTCATCGTTAATGATGACCAGCTCATTATGCAATAGGAGGGGGACAACTCAACTGTCCCCTCTGTTGGTCTCATATTTTGGGTCCCTGTAGCAGAGCTCTTGTTATATCGATCGTTGATGTTGCATAAAACTAAATTTCTATGATTCCAAGTCGGTCATCAGCATTCTAATACTAGTGGTTGCTTCTTAATTACCGTATTAATGACACACTAGCCAACAATTTAGAGGGACGCATCGGCCTGATTTACTCATACGTTGCAGCTAATTTGTGCCTGGTTCCTAATTATTATGGATTTTTTTTTTTTTAAATAATGATAACAGGAAATGATATTTCGGGGAACGGATACCGTAGCCGTATTAATAGAATGGACTCTGGCCCGGTTAGTCCTACACCAAGATGTACAAGTCAAAGTCCACGAGGAACTGGACCGGGTCGTTGGTGGGGCCAGGGCCGTAACGGAATCCGACTCCGCTTCTCTCCTCTATCTACAAGCCGTGCTCAAAGAAGCTCTCCGCCTACACCCACCGGGCCCACTCCTCTCGTGGGCCCGTCTTGCTGAAGGGTACGAGATTTTGGGCATGCTAAATTGGTCCGACCATCTGCCGGGTCTGGGTTGGGTGGATCCGCAGAGGATCCGGTCTAGGTGTGGTAGGCTCGTGCCCAGAGTGAACCGGTTCGTTGGAAATATTGTTGAGGAGCACAGAAGGGTGCGGGGTAGCGAGCTGCTGCCGCCGAATGCCGATTTTGTTGATGTTCTGTTGTCGCTGCGGGGGAGTGAGAGCTTATCTGACGCTAGTTAAAAGTCCTTTCGACTGCATCGTCCTCTCAATATAAAGGGATGTTCTATGTTGTACGCCGCGCACAGGAATGTGTTCTGTATTAAGTCGGGGTTTTTTTTTTTTTTGCTATTAATCTGGTGCATGAACGTGTTTTGACGTGACCGTTCGTTAAGTGCTCACACCCGTATACTTATTTCCGTTCCGTTTATATCCCGTGGCCGGCGCCAACCACGAAAGAGACCCTTATTATAACTGATATTTCCGTTACAGACGCGGCGTTTCGTTTCTTTTAAACGCGTTTGGTCTGCGCTCGCTACTCACTCTCTCTATATAAGCCCAGCCACTTCTCTCCTCTCCTCCGCCATCTCAAAAGACTAACACTCAAGCTTTCTCTCCACTCGATGAGGACTATCAAAAGCACTGATCCGAGTAAATATATACTTATCAGGTCCTTAGCTGCAAAATTGGGCAGCGGGCGCTCCTCAGACTCACGCCTCATCATCACTCTCACCGCCATCCTATTCTGCTGCTTCTCTGCGCACCGCTCCCTCTTACTGGGCCGTCCGCTGGCGCCCAGCTTGGGGAAAATATACTACCGCGGAACTGGCCCAAATCGCACAAAAGCAAGAATCCCAGGCCCGCAGTGGGCATCCGATACTCTAGGCAGCATGGGCCTAATGTCAGGCCTAGCCCACCCGGAAACTAGCAGAGGCGGGCGCCACAGCTTCAACGCCACGAGGCTGATGGCCCTCAGCCTCGGCCGCTGCACGCGCGTCGTGATCACGCTGCGACGACCGACGTCGCGCGTGAGTACCTCAACGCGGTCGTTCGCAGACGACCGGTGAAGGAGTCCGCATAGTGGGCTCACGTTCCACAGAGCCATCGGGTTCGCGCCTCACGGCCACGTACTGGCGGGCTCTGAGGCGGATCGCGTCCAAGCATCTGCTTCAGCCCGCGAAAGCACAATCACAACAATCTGCGCCTCATCGAGCCAGATAGGCGCCCAAATTGGTAAGTGTCAGCATACGCGGTTAACGAAACAAGCGTTAGGGTGAGAGAGGTGATAAAAGAGAGGACTTGCATAACGTGATGTGGTCGGTTTTTGGGAAGAGGTATGGATGAGATTCAATGAGGAGGTTAAGGAGTTGTAGTTTGGGTTGATGAAGGGTAGAGATTTTGGGCATGCTAAATTGGTCCGACCAATCTGCCGGGTCTGGGTTGGGTGGATCCGCAGAGGATCCGGTCTAAGGTGTGGTAGTGCTCGTGCCAGAGTGAACGGTTCGTTGGAAATATTGTTGAGAGCACAGGAAGTGGGCGGGTAGCGAGCTGCTTGCGCCGAATGCCGATTTGTTATGTTCTGTTGTCGCTGCCGGGGGAGTGAGAGCTTTCTGACGCTGACATGGTTGCTATCCCTCTGGGTGCGTACTAATACTATAGCTTAATTATGCCCATTTTAATTAATGTGTCCGCCCCCCCCCCCCCCCTCCTCAATTTTGGGTTCATAGTTTTTTCTATATTTTCGTTTTATAGTTAGTTTGCGTCTCTGTATCTCATCAGTGGACGAGGTCTACGTAGGGCATTAATAGTCTTTCAAATCCTAAATAAATAAAGCTAACATTTTTAATATGTAATTGGGATGGAAGTAAAAGGAAAAGAATTATATTCTAATTCGTGGCTGATAAGTGAGGCTTATCCAAGGTCCAGAATGAAATAATTAGATCATGAAAGATTCTGGTTTCGAGATCAAAATAATGGTTTTTTTTATAGTGAAAGTAAAAAGTTGGCATATATGCGATCCTTACTATTATTCATTTATAAGTCAATAAAAAAAAAAAAGTTGTGTGTACAATACCTTAAGAGCAAACAAGCCTGATGTGTCTCTCTCTAGATCTCTCTCTCTTTGTATATAGTGATTGTTATATGAAAAATTACTCAATGATCTAAAATATGGGACCATCAGGGGAACGTGTGAGGTGTCCCCCTCCTATTGCATAAGGAGTTAGTCATCGTTAATGATGACCAGCTCATTATGCAATAGGAGGGGGACAACTCAACTGTCCCCTCTGTTGGTCTCATATTTTGGGTCCCTGTAGCAGAGCTCTTGTTATATCGATCGTTGATGTTGCATAAAACTAAATTTCTATGATTCCAAGTCGGTCATCAGCATTCTAATACTAGTGGTTGCTTCTTAATTACCGTATTAATGACACACTAGCCAACAATTTAGAGGGACGCATCGGCCTGATTTACTCATACGTTGCAGCTAATTTGTGCCTGGTTCCTAATTATTATGGATTTTTTTTTTTTTAAATAATGATAACAGGAAATGATATTTCGGGGAACGGATACCGTAGCCGTATTAATAGAATGGACTCTGGCCCGGTTAGTCCTACACCAAGATGTACAAGTCAAAGTCCACGAGGAACTGGACCGGGTCGTTGGTGGGGCCAGGGCCGTAACGGAATCCGACTCCGCTTCTCTCCTCTATCTACAAGCCGTGCTCAAAGAAGCTCTCCGCCTACACCCACCGGGCCCACTCCTCTCGTGGGCCCGTCTTGCCACGGAGGATGTACTCGTGGATGGGAAGCTAGTGCCAGCTGGCACGACCGCGATGGTCAACATGTGGGCCATCACGCACGACCCACACGTCTGGGAGGCCCCCCTTGAGTTCAGACCCGAGAGATTCCTAGGGCTTGACGGGTCGGAGTTTTCTGTTTTCGGGTCTGATCTGAGGCTGGCCCCGTTCGGGTCAGGTAGGCGAAGTTGCCCTGGGAAAACGCTGGCCATGGCTACTGTTACATTCTGGATGGCGGCGTTGCTGCACGAGTACAGGTAGAATACAAATTTCATCCGAGTACGTACGCCTACGTACGTACAAAATATATATATATAGGGGATCTAGTAGAGTACGAAAATACTCGATCGTATATATAAGTTCTCTTTAATTAATTATATACGGTTAAAATTAATCCCACTCCGGCTGATCGAGATTTGTTATTTGTACACTACACTGCAGGTGGTTGCCCGCGACGAGCAGTAGTATTATTGACCTAGCAGAGGTCTTGAGGCTGTCGTGTGAGATGGCGAACCCGCTTACCGTTAATCTCCTTCCTCGTCACCAACAAAACTATGAAAATTATATATAAAACACATCGCGCGTCTTAATTAGGATCTTTAATTTGTTGCTTGAAAATGTATAATTAATACTGTGATCTCTTTGTTTACAGTTTAATTGTTTATAAGCTGCGTTTTTTTTTTTAATTATTAAGAGCACTTGTGTAGGTGTTAATGAGATTAATGTACTATAATATAGGAAAGCTGAGCAAGTTATGCAGGTAGAAGTGTGTAATATATATGTACATGTGTAGGAAATAATGCAGTTAATGAGAAAAGGTGATTGCTAGTTAACGACGACGTCATTAAAAGTTTTTCCCGTATTTTCTTGTCGAAGCAGAATTTCTACGATAGTATATATACGATCTTATATAATTAAAAGGTTTTATTGTAAACATCATATATACTAAATATTTTTTAAGGAATATTCCATCATATATACTAGATATTAGCATATATTTTATCTATTAATTAATTAATCCATCTACACTACATGAACATGTGAAAGTGTACGCATGGGGACGGTTATAATTGACAAATTAAAGTCTTGGGCGTGAAGTCTCGGGCAGTGGCTTATTACACGATTATTAATGTTGAACGTTAAAAGAGTCTCAAGGGCTTGACGCGTCAGCCAGCCTTAGACTACCCTAATTAATGAAAGAATAGAAAGAGATCGACTTCAACGCTCCAATAATTAATTGGTAACTACAAGGAGATATATTAAGTAATTATCTCGCGTAAGTACTTTTAAAATGCGCGCAGCGGTTATGAGGTCACATCATTAATGCTTAAAAATCATGGCATGTGTAATCAATAATAACGTTAACTATGACTTAAAGTCACTATAACTATACCACTCCCTTCTCCAGGAAGCTAGCCATATGTTTTTCTCCCTCTCTCCTCTCAATAAGTACTTTGTTACAAATAATAAAGTCTCGCTCTTGTATCCTAAGTGTGGTTAACTTAATTTCATAAAAAAAAATCATGAACTTCTATGTTTTAGAATTTAATAAAATCTATATAGCACACTCACAAGACTCAAAAACTTAATTTCAAGTATATATATTTACTGACATGTAAGTTATTCTGATCTCAACCACGTTTTTTTGCTTCTAATTTTCCTGAGCAAGTATTCTCTAAACCACTTATTCATTTTATCTTCTTTCCTCAAACTTTCAAAAAACTACTAGAAAAATGGTCGCGAACTCCAATTTGCATGGGATCACATACGGAGGTTTCCTGGAAATTAAAGGATGAAGAATTATGGCAACTTTTAAAATTTATTATTCCTCTACATAATCAATAATAATAAAATATGGGACCGGGGGGAGAGAAGAGGTGTCCCCTTCCTATTGCATAATGAACTGGTCATGCAAGCTCATTATGCAATGAGAGGGGGACATCTCACATGTCCTCTCCAATGATCTCATATTTTAGGTTCATGTAGCAGAGCTCATCAAATATAGCTAACGTTAGGTTTATTTTTTGAACGGTTAACGTACATAGTAGCAAGCTAAAACTCGATCCCTAGTCTCTTGAGTCACGACGCACCAAAATCCAGGTCTGAAGCTTGATGGAGATTAATTAGTGCTCTATTGTAATTAATTAGTCTATTGATCATAACAGCTCAACTGCATATTTAGAACCTATAACTAATTGGTAACACTAATTATAGAGATTAGAGAGCCGGACGTGCGGGCGATTGATATGACACACTCCCGCACGTGCAAAAAGATGGATAAGACATCTAATAGCTGGCCACAAGACTTTAAGAAATATAAATTTTAGTTCTCTATTGAATAATGCTAACAAAACTATACTCTTTTAAACTTCTTTAGCAAAGTATGAGCTCTAATATTGATGAGCAATCAATTCGAATAAAAGTTAAAAGAAAACGGAGATCATATATATATATATGCATTTGAGTACTACTATGATGCGGTCTACTAGCTAGATCTCCTATATATACTAGTCGACCAAGGTTATTTTCTTATGATCTCTTTTGAAAGGACCGTTATATGCCTCCTCGTATATAGTTTGTCTGGTCTTATAACTAGATTTTACTATCATATATATATATAGGGTCAGTCTTCGGAGTCGAGCAAGTGGCTAAGCTTTACGAATTCCCTTTCATTGTATGAAAAGTACTAAATCAGTTGAGAGTATTGGGAGACCCTCTGCAAATTGAGAGTTTTATTATTATACGTATCAAAATTGTGAAGCTGTGGAGATGATTCAGATTTTTTTTTAATTATATATTAAGAAAAACATATATTGAAATTAAATTATACGGATATTTTCATATCCTAAAGAAATTAAACAATATCCGCAAGGTCAGTAACATATATATAGATCCTTTAGGTCCCTTGCAAGCCAATTGATGAAGGAAAACGAAATCAAAGTTAGGATTCCACCATATATATAAACCACATACACTTTTGTCTGCTGCAAAAGTTTAGTTTGGCATCACCTATGCTAAGTGGCACACTTTGCTTCCACTTGCCTAAGCTTTAATTAGGACAATAATGTCGAATAATCTTTTTCCTCTGTTTTTATTAAAGGTAAAGGTGATGGATTGAAGTTTGTTGTGGGCAGGAAGAGGATTGGTTTTTGGAGGTAATGTGTGTTTTGAGAGAGAGAGAGAGAGAGAGAGAGAGAGAGAGAGAGAGAGAGAGAGAGAGAGAGATTTTGTATCTTAAACTTTGTTTTAATTGTTGGATAGAGATCTAAAGAGATTGTGTATCTTAAACTTTGTTTTAATTGTAGGATAGAGATCATGCTTAGATCTTACCAAATCTTGCTTTGGTCCCTACCAAATGTGACTAAGATTTTGTCACAATCTGATTGTACGTGCACCTCAAATATCCCATCTTCGACCGCTATTATTATTACTACGGCACATATTATTTTGTAATCTCTAGTGGATCTTACATGCCTATCGTTTGTTTTAGTTGTTTGCCATGAAAAAGAAGTGCCCTGCGGTCGAGGGACTGGTTTCTCTTAAATTTCGCTTTCATCACTTATGTCAGACGCCTCAAAGATATTTGGTTTCTGATGATCATGAAGCCATGATTATCTTATTGTAGTTATACCTTACGTGTATTGTAATTAGATATATCTAATTAATAAGGAGGGTGGAAGCGTTTATCTTCTACATATTAAAAATTATATGTATTTGTTGGGGATTTTAGTCTCCCCTACTAAGATCTGTGCAACTAGAAAGCCAACCCACAACCCACAAGATAGAACCAACCACAATTAAGAAGAAAAACACTAAATTTTAACGTGGGTCGGTCGACCAACTCCGATCTACATTCACGGGACAACAATACAAGAAACCTGCTATGTATAAGGAAGAACTACATAGGAACAACTCAACTATCGCCTCTCAATCTCTCAATCTCACATATATAATCAACTCTCATATTCTCTCCAAAACCCTCTCCTTATAATCTTATGAACGGATAAAAACTACGAAACTTTCTCCTACTATTGTAATCTTTTGCATGAATAAAGATCATGAAACCCTCGCCAATGTTGTAACGTCTAGCACGGACAAAGACTCCAAAACCCTTGTCTCTCATATGCTATTCTTGAATCTGGTTTACGCCCTCTACTGACCTAGATTATAAGAAAACCGACCCTCTCCTTTTCTCCTTGGGTTTTCTCTAACAATAGAATATTATATATATATATGAAAACCAAAACCTTATCTCTAGTCTAATTTTCTAATTAAAATAAGATTCAAACTCCTTATTATGATGAGGCATAATCTCCTGATCATGATAAACCTCTAACTTTATCTAACTCTCATAAAGTTATTCAAAGAATCAAAGATACGGTCCCAATAATCTCCACCTTGAATATGATTCGCAAACCACTCGGAAGAGACCATTACCATCTTGAAATTTTGCCTCCCCACCTAGCATTTTCTATTCTTTTGGACTTCAATTAGAAGCTTCCACACTCCTCATCGGAACACCTGCATCCCAATCTGCATGCCTTGTGATCTGTCACCTCTGAGTATAGGTTTCCCCTCCGCCAGCCATCATCCATTGTCGGCTGCCTCCTCTAGATAATAAGGAGATTGGGTCCCGTCATAATAAAAAGATTGAATCCTATTCTAATTAGTAAGTTATACCAAAGACACAATCCCAACAGTATTTGTTTTTAATTTTTTTGGTTTTAATTTTTTTTTGTCAATAAATTTATTTGGTTTTGTAAAGCTTAAGTTCATATGAAGAGCTTTCAATGTGGGACAAGGTTGCAGCAATCATGTTAGTTTGATATGAATATTGTAACAATGCTAGATATTAAGCTTTTAGGCCAATAAGTCTATAATTATGTTATGGGTCAGTGTTATAGGTTGCCTCAAATACTCAAATATATATTGTTTTGGAAGTTCTTTTTTAGCTTGGTTTGTTTTAATCAAGAGTTCTACTTACATTAGACTTTGCACAACCAATCATATTAGATGTTTATTCCTACTTGAACTCTTGTTAGGTTTTAGGACATGTGGACTTCTATTCTTATTAGAACTCTTATTCATTGGACAACAATGAGTTGGGATCTTCAATGCTATATAAGAACAGTCTTTCAAGCCAATTAGATGCAACAATCTTCAAAGCATCAATCAAGAAGAAAGAGTTCTTTTGTGAAGCCTATTTGATATTCTTCTCTTTTGTTCCTTTAGTTGAGAGTTGTATTAGGCTTTTGAGGTGTTATTTGGGATTGAGATCACTACTGGAAACAGGACTTTTAGCGACGGACAAACCCGTCGCTAAAAGAACAAAATACGTCGCTAAAATTTTTAGCGACGGAAAAAATAAAATTTCGTCGCTAAAATACCGACACTACATTGAGGGTCCCTAATATGACTATTAGCGACGGATAATCCGTCGCTAAATATTAGCGACGGGACATTAGCGACGGATTTTCCGTCGTACTTTTTTTTAATTAAAAAAAAAAAATCTTTAGCGACAAATTTTCCGTCGCTAAAGATGTCTTTAGCAACGGATTTTCCGTCGCTAAAATATCTTTAGCGACGGAAAATCCGTCCCTAAAAAGTGACCAGTATCTTTTTAAAAAATATTTTGAAATTTGAAAATACCCTGTACAAAAACATAATAATCCCTGTTCAATCAGCAATACCACACATGTATAACACATATTTCAATAAAAACAAATAAAAATACCCTGACATAATACATATTGTTTATACAACTATTGTCTTTAAAGTTAAATTATTACAAATCATTCATCGCCATCATCCTCATCACCAGCTCCACCATGACTACCCCCAGCTCCACCTTGTCTAGAAGTCCCGGTCTGCAAATATAATAAAATACCCAACATTACAATAGTATAAATAACAGGAAACTATCATTAACAATTTTATAGATAAGTAAATTTTAAAGTTTCTGATCCTCATTTAAAATACATGGTGAACATCAAAAATATAAACACGTTCAACAATATTTATCAAAAATAATAGGGAGGAAGGAGAACATGAAATGTCATTAGGCAAGCCATCACAGTATGCAAACAAGCTCATATAACCAGCATTAGGCAACCACGAGTGTTGTATAAGTCGATTACAACAAATTCAAAGAAATAGTCTTTTTATAAGACTTCTTTTACATAACAAAATGAAAATTACAACTCTTGAGAAACAAACGCAGGATCATTGTTTGGATCGCTGCTTGCGTGGAATCTTTGCCTGTGCCGGGAGCGCTTTGACTCGTGGACCACCAAATCACAGATTCTGATTGAACCGTGAGGGGTTTAATGATTCTTCCTTCGTTTATCGAAGTAAGAATTTGAAGCGAATATCTTATCGATGTAAGATGTTCACTCTTCCAAAGATCAAGTCTGAGCTTAGATCTCTAGGAATGGCCAAAAGCTTCTTGAGGATGTTTGTGAAGAAGAAAGACTCTCTCTCTTGCTCTAATTCACCAAAACTCAAGGCTCTCTGCTCTAATCTCTCTGGAAAATGCTCAGCCCCTGTCAATGATGGCTATAGGGGGGTATTTATAGCCTCCTTAGACGATAACTGAAGAAATAGCCGGTCAATAACTGTCTCTTTAGGCGCGGCAGCTGATGCTGTCGCGGCTAAAGGGCGCGACAGTCGACACTGTCGCGGCCAAAGAGCGCGGCAGTCGACACTGCCGCGGCTAAAGGGGCAGTTACACCCACGTTCATACGTGTTTGAAACAGTTCTCCCACGACCTTTAACCACCTTTTTCGTGGTTTAACTGCTTGTACACGTCAGCACACGTTCTATTTCTGATACGCCGCCACGTGGACTTTAAATAATCATCAGATAACTGTATTATAACTGCTGTAGCATCCTGCTTTAACTGCCGCGGCACCATAGGTTGCAGCGGTTAAGCCGCGACACCATAGGCTGCCGCGCCTTAGCCGCGGCACCTTGGTCTGCCGCGCCTTAGCCGCGGCTGTTTTACACCTCTATTCTCAAGGTACTATGAGAATCAACTATCCTCAAGCTCCCATGAGGATCATTAAGTCCTGAAGATAAGATACACCCGTATCACCACCACCTGAGGGGCTTGATTAGAAAGATGGTTGATTTCTTGTCGGCTGGGGACGTACTTTTTGTATGGGAACTCCCCCTTCAGTAGTCCGAACACCTCATACATCTCATGAAGCGCTAGCCCCAACTCCCTGTTCAGCATGAAAAATGTGCCGTTGTCTGGAGAGTAGAGTTCTAGAATGCTGTGAAGCTAGGGAGCATTAATCTTGAGGCCGTGCTGAGTGGCCCTGATAGCCCTATATAGATCTGACCCATGCAAGTTAGAGTTCTCCACCAACACATATTCGGTGATTCTGTACCACCATGGGCCATTGCCCGTCGATGAGTGAATCCACCCGGGGGCTCTGAAATCCTTTGGGGGACTGATCCCAGCTCTGAAGAAACAGTGACGAAAGGTCTCGGCCACCACAGGTGTCTCTCCCACAGGGATCTCACTCTGTAGGAGGCCCGGGTGCAGAGCGATGACATGCTTACTAGAGTTGTCAACACCGTAACCAGCCGAAGAACCTGTGAAAAGTCCACAAGTAACTCCGTCTTGAGACGGAGTTAGTTCCCAATTGATTATACGGGGGATGGAGAGAGGACGCAATTCTACCAATGAGAACCCCCTCACCATACAGGGGAGGAAGTATCAAACTCCATCTATCTCGCGGAGCCACATGCTCTCGCTAAGAAACATGGTGGAGGGGTCAGCTACGGCGTCACCAAACATAAAAATAGGTTTCCCCATCTCCCGGCGCTAAGAGTCCACCAGCGTTGCATCTGTGGTCAGTTCTCGTGGCATCAAATAGTATCCCTCAGACACCACTTGCTTCAACTCACTCATCTTATCAGCATTAAACATCAGCACTGGGTTGAGGAGCGAAAACCGATGAGGAGCCACGAAACCAGTTCTGCCAGCAAATACAATGGCCCTGCCCCTTGGAAGGGCCTTATCAGAGAAGGTAGCTGTAAAGCATAACAAGGAGTAGTTAGAATTCTCTTTAACTCAAAAAGGCTAAAAATTTCCTAAGTCTTTGTAACAGGCGATAGGCGAACTCCAAAGCTTGCTTGATAAGGCTGAGCTCACCTGACAAGGCTGAGCTCGCCTGATAAGAAAAGCTCGCCTAAAAAGGCTGACAAGCAAAACTCTCCTGACAAAGTTGTCCTCACCTGACAAGCAGAGCTCGCCTAATAAAGCTGAGCTCGCCTTACCAAAATAGAGCTCACCTGATGAGCAAAGCTCGCCTAACAAAGGCAAAGCTCGCCTGAATAGCAGAGCTTCGCTTGAGTGGGCGAAACTCACCACAGAAGATGAACAAACTACTATTCATCTTCCCCAACTAGTCCAAACGGTTCTCAAACCTACTAGAAGGAGTTTGGACAACGGCGACGGCAGCAGCAGCGCCAAAAACAATAGGAGAGGAGACTTTCCCCTTTCCCTTTGAAGCGAGCGACTTCTTAGGTGCTATCTCGAGTTGGAGAAGAATAGAGAGACTGGGTTTTTCTATTTAAAGCTTGGGTGAGCAAAAATTTGAGTAGGCAGAAGTCTCCTAAGGAGTGAGACGAATCATATTTGTAGTCGGTCCTTCGACGATTGAGATCTGTCATCTTAAACCAAAACCAATGGCTCAGATCGACTGCAACGGTTCATATTCGACGGTTCGAATTGAACAGTCGAGAGCGAATCTCGAATCAAACGGTTCGAGTCCAAAGAGCCAACCGACGAGGCGGTTCGCCTTCAAATAAACAACCGAGATCAAAAGCTTTTGAAATCAACAGCCATGGTCTCTCGTCTAAATGACGATCAAGATCAAAAGAGTCGTCAAATCCACAGCTCAGAATTAAGCACAGGAAGATGAGGCCACCACATTAGATCACATTTATTACGATCTGACATGCTCACACCACCTTAGCTGGCAAGCGCAGAGTGCATGTCTGCAAACACGTGGCCTACCTACGGACACGTGGCCCGCCCATTAATTTTTTTAGGCATTGCCTATGGGTTTGAGCTCGCCTGATGACATCTCGAGCTCGCTAGAAAACACAAAGATCACTTGATGCACGACTTTCACCCTCAGCTTGAGCCTCACCTGCAGTGAGCTAACTCACCTACCAAATAGCTCGAGCTCGCCCGCATATTAAGAGCTCACCTGACAATGGCCTAAGCTCGCTTGAAGGCTCGAGCTCGCCTACACTTCATCGAGCTCACCTGAAGAGCTCAACTCAACCAAGGGGCTTAAATTGGCCCAAACCAATGAGCAGTGGTTACTTTCATTCAAAGTATTCCAGACCATATTCAACCTGATTTAGGTCTGAAAACTTTGAAGGGGTCTTGTAGGCAGTAAAAATTGCCTATGTGTCAAAGCCCACCTGACTGGCCTCGCTTGATTATTGAGCTCGCCCGTAGAGCTCAACCTTGCCTATTTATTGAACTCACCCGCAGAGCTCAATCTCACTTCCTTATTGAGCTCGCCTGTAGAGCTAAATCTCTCCTATTTATTGAGCTCACCCGCAGAGCTCAAATCTCGCATGTTTGTTGAGCTCGCCCGCAGAGCTCAAATCTCGCCTGTTTATTGAGATCGCCTGTAGAGCTCAACCTCACCTCCTTATTGAGCTTGTCCGTAGAGCTCAATCTCGGCTTATTGAGCTCGCCCGTAGAGCTCAACCTTGCCTCCTTATTGAGCTTTCCCTTAGAGCTCAACCTCGCCTCCTTATTGAGCTCGCCCGTAAAGCTCAACCTTGCCTCCTTATTAAGCTTGCTCGTAGAGCTCAACCTTGCCTCCTTATTAAGCTCGCCCGTAGAGCTCAACCTCACCCATTTGTTAAGCTCGTCCGTAGAGCTCAACCATGCCGGTTTATTGAGCTTGCTCACAGAGCTCGATCACCTTGTTCATTGAGCTCGCCAGCACGAGTTCAACCTCACCTGAATGATTTGTTCGCCTGCACGAGCCAAGCATGCCTACAGGGAGTTCGCCTACATGAACTCCACTCACCAACGAATGATAGCTCACACGTTGGAGGGGCCCATCAGCCGACCCCGTCTGTTTTCCAAGCTCCCCTGCAAGCTCATCTGAGCATTCATACAGCTCTTGAGCTCGCCCGTAGATTTGCCAACCTCGCCTGAGTAATGCAAATGGGCTACTTGCTTGTGGGAGTGGGCCTACCCACTTCCCACGTCCTGGGTAATGATGAGGTATGGCTCTCATCACCCCTATAGTGGTCACATCCCACAACTAGGGGAGGGCATGGTGCTCCTCACCCACTAGTGATGAGGTATGGCTCTCATCACCCCTATAGTGGTCACATCCCACAACTAGGGGAGGGCATGGTGCTCCTCACCCACTAGTGATGAGGTATGGCTCTCATCACCCCTATAGTGGTCACATCCCACAGCTAGGAGAGGGCATGGTGCTCCTCACCCACTAGTGAACACATCCCACAGCTAGGGGAGGGCATGATGCTCCTCACCCACTAGTGGTCAAATCTCACAAATCAAGGGATGACACATGCCATCCCTTACCTATTTAAAGCCACCTTTAGTCAACGTAAAAGGAGCTGGGCAAATCATTCAAGAGGCTAGGATTTTTTTTACTCTTAGGATTAGTTTTTGGGCTTGGCTTGACATTTTTATTCTAAAGACTCTTAAAACAGAGGCCTTCATTTGCCTTGCTTGGTAGAACCTTCCTATCTCCTCGCTTGGATTGTTGAAGTAGACTCAATCTGAACCCTCAGATTTGAGGCTCATCAGCTCTCTACAAACCCTTGCATTGTAGCTCTCTCCAAGCTCGCGGCCTTGATACCTTTTCAAGCTCGGGTATAGTTGAACTCAATCACTCCGGAGTCTCTGCTGCGCACTGAAGCTCCAACCGCAACTTCGATCAGATCGTCCAAGGGAAGCAAACTCGACGCGAGCACTGAGGGAGGCATCTTACCGCTGCCAATGAGCCCACGTTAAAATAAGGAGGATCATTCCCTTCTCCTCTATTGCAAACATTGATCATTAGTTTGTAATAAGTCATTCTTATAAACACAAACGACCCCTCAAATGAGAAGTCAATTTTTACGCCCAACAAGGCAGCTGTAGACTATACTCCAAGTGATCAAGATGCAACAGCACTCGATTCTCGCTGTGGCTATACACCGGCTCGCCTCTGTCTGGCATCGCTAGTGTGAAAGTCTTGGAAATATCGTAGAGATGATAAAGTTGCATTAGATCATCCATATAGATCCTCGAGCCAATGATCCAAAGAAGAGAGATCTTCTCCTCATTACGCCCAGTGGTTGTAACTTGAGAAGCCATTGAAAGTTTTTTAGCTTTAAGGTCTAAAGAAACACCGAAGATTTTGAGTGAGAGTTCGTAAAGAAATCTTCTCAGCCCATAGAGAGCTATTTATAGTTTCTTGGAGAGACACATGGATTGATCCATGAGGATGTAGTGTTTCGAAATAAACGAAAGAGATCCACCTCGGAATCTCAAATAGTTCACTCGAAACATGAAGTGCCACCCCTTTATTACTCCATGCCTCGGAGTCTCAAACGATTCACACAAAAATCGAATCGCATGATGCTTCCATTTCTAAAATTTAATCTTGACTGTTAATCAGAAATTAAATATGGTAGTTCAAATTCATGATCACATCAGCCAAGAAAAGCGGAGCCATGGTAGTTAAAGGAAAATCCTCGATGACGTCAGCCACGTCAGTTGAAAGAAATTTTTTAGTTTCTCAACCTCAGTAAACTCACACTGACCCAAAGTCCATCTCATTTTACTCAGACCCGGCTCAAGCCGACTTCAAGCAAAAGGGGCCAACTGTTATTGTGATCCCATTCTATAAAATATGGTTCATTACCAAATGATGGATTTGTAAAAGCTCAATATATGCCCAATCAATTTGGTGACCCAAGCCTAACAAGAAGTCCGACCCGGCCGACTAAACGAGCTGATGTTTCTTCATGCCGACTCGAAAGGTGATACCTGTCGACCCTCTTGTCGAAGGCGACTTGCCAAGAGTCCACTCGACCAATCGTCCAACACCTCTCTAGGACAATTCCGAAAGACATTGCTTCTCGGTGAAGCTATAGGGTATCTTCTATGATGGAGCTTATCAATATTAACAACATATCCACATCAAACCTGCAAATGGATCAAGCATCACACACCTCGGGGCTCATTAGCCCACATCAATTTTTAGCCCACGTGGGCACTGACATGCCGTCGATCACTCCCAAATCAAGGCCAAAGTGGTCTATCTCCCAGTCACCAGCTGACACTCATCAAGCAAAGACCATCCCAGCGACTGGTCCACACTTGGCCATCGCCCTATTGTGCTAGGCCGAAGTGACCAGCCTACCCTCATACCCCCAAGTATAAATACAGGTGCTATTCTACCTTACACCCGGGGGGCTTTTCTTTTGTAGATATATTGTCCAAAAATAAGCATTGAGGGTTCTTTCTTTACCCAACTCAAGAACCAGACACAAAGTCGGGGAAGAAAGCGGTCCTCTTAACCCCTTTGCAACTACAACCCCGTCCGAACACAGACACAACTAACTGTGTGATCATCGCCATCAACATGTGTGTGTGTGTGTGTGTGTGTAGGGTTTAGTGGCTTTTGAGCTTGGTGCAATTTACATGCTTTCAATGCCTCTTTAGTTTTGTAATTGATTTACCTAATAACTCTAGTTAATAGTCCAACATACACTTTTAGTTATAAACTCTTGGTTTGTCTTTTAATTTCTTCATTAATTGAGAAAAGAAATGGGTCTCTACATCCTCTCCACCTCAAATAAAATTTCATCCTCGAAACTTTACGTACATTGGTTCTTAAAAGGTTGAGGATACTTCTGTCACATCTCCTCTTCAAGCTTCTAAGTTGCTTCTCTATCAGAGTGATTCTTCCATTGAACCTTCACGTATCAAATAGTATGTTGCCTAAGCACTTGTTCCTTTGATCTAAAATGCATTT